CCAAATGTCACACAAAATTGGATATCTGCCACCGGGGAATAGTTGGTCTAGCATTTGCATCCTTACGTTCTCCAAAAATCCTGCCTTAATACCCCTCGCAGCAGCCTTTACCAAACAATTTTGATAAGGGATTGGCAGTGTACCTCCAAACACATTGAATCAATAACTTTCATGGAATGAAAAGATGGCAAGTCTGATATTTTGTCAACTCAAACAACACGAAGGGTTTCAGCTCATCTCAGAACTTGGATAAGTACTAGCTCTGGGCAGGCTTTAATTTGTTTTGGAATCTACGACAGTTTCTGTTTGTACTTTGTGAAAGCAGCTTTTCCAAAGGAAATAACTTCAAATGCCTTACCACAATCCGACCAAAGGAGGATTATGGTACTTGGACAGCTTACAGCTACCTCAAACCGTAACCTTTATCATGAGACCTACATCTTTGAAAAATCCATTTTCTGGAAGCAATTCAAAGTAAATGCTACAGATTTACTGCCACATGATGGAAGTCTAGACACAATGGAACATTTTATGACTTCTATGCTTTGTTCCAAAGTTTCTGTCAATATTTTGTCACGAAGTGTAAATGTAACTCCCCTCCCCCCCTCCCCATTTCAGGTAACATTATTGACGACTGCAGAGAACCTCATCCGCAGTATGTGACATAATCTTAATTTGAATCTATCAGGAAAGCCATGTGAAGGCATGGACTATGCAGACAATGGCTATCATGACAGTAGGTCCCATCACGAGGATTTTTCTCTCATTTCTTTACAAATCTCTGTGGAAGGCATCATGCGTGGTTAAATGGATACCCTGCTTACTGTATCTAACAAGATTACTGCCAGGCACGGGCCAGTCGGGGTCAGCAGACTAAGCCTCAGTTGCTAAGCTGTGTCATACCTGGAACAGGAAAACTCGGCAATGCTTCATCATGTGGCCTGTAAACCTAATGATGCAAGAAATGGTGTGGGTTGCCAAATGAAGGGAATGAGTCTAATTAAACCCAGGTTTTACACCCCCACACCAAGGCCTGCTCAGCCACGAGCTGCCGTGTAGGTTTTATGATGTTTTTATTTCCTCGGTCATTTGGTGTGATGTTGACCTGCCCTGCTGGTGGAATGAAATGTCTGTTTCCACATGAAGGTGACAAATGATTCAATTTTTGGAGTGTCAGAGGTCACAGGATAAAGAACACTTCCTAGGGTATAATTGGGCCAGGCTGTGTGGTGTGGAATATTGATTTTGTGAAATAACATCTACCCACTAAAAAGTGTATTAAACCTTTTGTATTCTGTATGTGGATTTCTAAGCCAGGAGACTAGAAAAGGAACCAGTGAAAATGCAGAAATCTATAAGAGAGGTCCTCAACCATCAATACCAGTGTTTACTGGCAAATTAATTGTATCACAACCAAAAGTGTCAGACGTTAGCTCATGACTGTCATATTGAAACAACTTTCTTTATATGGCACTAATCTTCACCAGATGTATGGCTCCAGTATGTTTCTGTCCTTCTTTTGTGACACTTTTGTCTGTCTTTCAGTTGGCCCACTCATGCCTCGCTATACAAATGTATTTGTGCCTTTTTTTTGGGGGGGGGGCTGCATTTATTCAATCCTAAAAGATCTTCACACAGATGCAAATTGAAAGTCTACATTTTGGCAAAGTATTTCCCCCTGCTTGCAGTTAGATCATGATTAGATCATTTTATGTGGTTAACAAGACATCTCTAGTCTCTTTACAAACAATATTATGCCAGTCATATTACTACAACAATAGAGAGGTGTGAGGTGATGGTCAATTTATTATTTTATAGACAGATGAATAGACTCTGGGTAATGCCTCAAAGATGAGAAGATAAGAAGATACAGGAAATAAGGACTAGAGACAAGGAGCATCCCTGCCAGGAGGTTATCAGGAACATGACCTAACTAAACCCTCCCCACAACACAAAGGAGACAGAAGGGTCTGGGAAAGATCCTCTTTCCACCATTCCCTGTCAACCTGGGCCAAACAGGGTCAGACAAGCCAGATTCCAGGGACAATGATGGAATGTTCTGCAGATTTTTGTAATTGCTGAATATTAGTGAGGACTGAAAGTCTTCCCCAGCACCCCAGGGATACAGACTGGCATAATGAGAACCAGTCAGAGGTGGCCTGTTGGGCAGCCCAGAAAACACACTATGGGCAACAGTAGGGATCAGATTTCATGCTGGAACCAATTAAAGTCTAGCCCAGCTCAGGCCCACCCCTACCTCCCCTGAGGCCACTTGGGAGAGGAGGGGCAGAGGGCATGAAATCAGGGCACAAGTCCTAAAACAAACATTCCCTGTCTCCAAATCCTGCTGGGATCTGCCTACTGGGAAGGGACTCCTGGAGGGACAAGTGTCCAGGATACAGTTTCAGCAGAAAGAAGTTTGTTGTGGCCATGTTTGGGTGATGGGTAAACCGCCAAGCCAACCTACCCAGCATGCCAACCCCCTCCCACACCCCAGCATTCCCCAACAATTCCACAGATAAAGAGGAGCCAGAGATTCTGTGCACAATTGGTAATGGGACTTAAAATCCTCCTTTAGGGATTACCGCCCCAGTTGTTCTGGTCTTCTTCATGCTCCCTGGTAGTTACTAGGCACCACCTGTAACTACAGGAGAGGAATTGCGGGATTATCCAGTAACAACCCAAGGGTGGGTCGCAGACACTGGGGAGGAAGTGTGACATGCTGTGCTTATATACTTTGGTTTGTTTAGTGTATTACTTTTACAACATGAGACATGGAAGCTGCTAGAGGCATATTCCAAGTCCTAGCTTTTGTTGATAAGAGCTTGTTGAACTGACAACCTAATCAGGAAAAGCAGAGGTTTACGATACTGATACACAAGTGGACTTATTGGTCTGTATACTGCAAGACTTCCACAGCTGGATTCACTGTATTAGCAGCCTCTTGAGTCATGCTGACAAGTGGTAATGGTAATTTCATGTTCAGAAGGATCACATCTCAGGTCCAGCCTCAGATGTAGTCCATCTGGTTTAATAAACATGAAGGCCTGGGAAACTGTCCAAAGCTTTGGAAGTTCCTGCCATCATCCCCAGGGCAGACTTCACCTTCACAATTCTTCTGGGAACGGCAACAACAGCTGAGAGGAATAAGTGGCCTCCACATTCCGTTACTTGTGTCAGTGATATATATGTAAGGGCAGCGACTGTGCTGCAAAGATACCGTGCACATAGGCCTATTCTGTTGTCTCATATTACACACACAAGTCAAGTGCAACAGAAATGAAGGTTGAACTGAACTTGCCACCAGTGCAGTGATGACACTATAAATACTCTACCCCGTGTGCTGACGAAAGCCAGTAAACTTGATTTTGGAAAGAATTTGGGGGAGGAATTGTCAGTCAGGAAATGGCTCACTCAAACTGGAGGATGTAGACTGCACACGCCATTGATATGAGGAATGCGTCTTAAAACTGTCTGGATTCCAAGAAGTACAGTCACGTTCCCATTGCATAACCTGATAAATAAGACATGATTGTCGACTGCCCTACACCTACAGTAACCTGGTATAAGACGCTCTCACTCACAGCTCTCTGTTTTACAGCGAGGACCTTCTGTGCATCTTTAAGGCAAGTCACATTAGTATTCATGGGGATAAATCACAAGGGGACAGGTGCAGATGCACAGGTTGGCACAGGGGAGTGTTGTTACTCTGGAGATATGGAACCAAAGTCAATTACTTCAGTAGAATGCAGGAATAACTTGGCACAGTATATCTCCCAAATTTTCTGTGTTGGGCTACACCAATTTGATTTCTTGGTCCATAGGTTATTATAGGTTTTTCTTCCAAATTACTTAATACTATAAATGTAAATCTGAGAATGAAGAAACTAAACTGCTGTGGCCTTATTATTATTTTTTTCCCAAACTGGTTGATTTAACCCCTTTTTGGGAATATGCTGGACGAGTTGTGCTAAAATGGCCAGTTTTTTCTGAAAATATACAGCTTGAAATAACAGCACATTCTGTGAATGTAAATGTGGCTTCATCTTATACATGTTACAGTGAAGGCTTGCTTTTGTGTCTTAAATTCTTAATGCAAGTTTTCATGTTTGCAGATCAGGAGCATCACTGGGGCACTAAAAGCCTGCAGGGATATGCATTGATTGACAAGATACAAGCTGCCTCTTGGTAACCTGTCACCCAGCATGAAAGCCAGGCCTAATGTGGGAAGATAGGGCTTATTCCATCAGCTCCCCCGAGTCAACCCGATTGCCATTTATCTCCCAGTTTTAAAAACATGTTGCTTAAGTACTACATGAAGGGCAAGTCTTAATAGTTTTAATGGAAGGTCATGTTATACCTAGGAGACAGGGTTATCTCTGTCGCAGTAAGATGTTGTCCAGAATACATTTTAAGATATGACTCATGTGCTTGGCAAGAAAACTACAGAAAGCTGACTAAAACTGTAGGTAATGAAGTGCCTGATACATGACAAGGATCCCTTATCTTGTTTACCATACTTGGGTACTGAACTGACCACCAGACAGTGAGGCTTGCAGCCCATTTAATGGCCTGTAGCTACAAGCTATCACAGCAGACGGTAGATCAAGTGATCAGACAAAGAATTTAGGCAGTCAACCCCGACCTGCACCAACTCCTAGCACTGCTGGAGACATGTTGATGGAGGAACTTCAAGGTTGTGATATTTTGACAACACACATATACCTGATGAATAAAGAATGTATGGCACTCTTTATTCTACGGGCCTGATTCTAAATCCAGATAGCCTTTAAACAGCTTTAGTGCAAGTCTAAACTGCTGTCTTTGACAGCAGACTATTGTCGAATTTCACAAGAAGGAAGGATTATTGTACATGTCTGTATGCCTTAACCATGGCGCAAACATGCATCACATGATCGTGACTACCACTCCAGGATTAGGTGCATAGGCAGCTATGTCTTGGAAAAAGTATTGAGCAAGATATTTCTTTCTAACCTCACCTGAGTCACAGGCAAACTGTTTTGTTGAGTTGTCCAGGAACATGATGGACACTGCATGCTTCTTGCTGTCCTTGGGCATACGGGACACATTCCGCACACTCTCCAGGACAGTCACTTTGTGATAGGCTCGTATCTGAGCTGCCTTTTCATCAAGGAACTTCTCAAACCGACGGGGTCCTTTGCTGGAAGCTCTTTTGAAGATGATCCAGCATTTCTGGTAAATCTGATGGCAGAAAGATTAAATCCAAATCAATATACAATTACATGTACTTGCTATAACATTTCAGAAAAAAACTGCTACACTTGCAACAAAAGTTAATTATTTCACTCTGAAACATTCTATAATAAACACGGCCGTGCTTAATTGCATATCACAACACTGGATTCTACAAATTCCATTCTGAATATCCTGGGCCACTCTGATTTAACACGCTCTAATTATCTTGCCATAACATTTCAGTAACCTTTATTCTATCAAACCACCTGCTAAAGTAACTGATGCAGATAATGAAAAAAATTAAAGTCTGTCGCTTGCTGTCCCAAATCTGACAGTGATGAAGCCTCCCTTGGGATGCTTGATTATTGGCTGATGAAATCTATATATGGTTTTCCAATGCTTAGCATTCCAATCACAATACATGTATAATGTCTTTCTTTCATATCTCCTTGGTATGCATTACCTTGGTATGAATGAATCAATGCAAAATATCTAAGAAGTACAAAGTATGATATGAAAAAATGAGAAAAACACCTGTAAAATGATATAAAACTGAAGCACTGAGCTTAAAAAATATCTTTCATTGCCAAGATTATTTTCTGATAACTACAGGTGTTGGAGAGACATTAGCATCCTTGCCTGGGTCACATGTGTTCTCTGGAGATAACGTCACAGTGGACTGTGAGGCTACTGCAACTCCCAAGCTCTGCCAACAGATCATTTCCAATCTATCAATTTGCCACTGATAAAGGAACCAAAATATTTTGGAACTGCATTAGGTTGACATTGACCTGGCCACAAAACTCCATAGGAATGTGATTATCCTGGGATGGTGAAGCCAGACCAATATTTCACCCACAACATTGCGTTATCAGATTTGAGATATGCAAGATTAATAGTTTTGTCATGTTGTATTTTTGTTGTCAAGAAGGTGTGGATTCCAACACTGAACAGCAAAATACAAACCAGGTGTAGACCCCCATCCAATAGATATATATGGAAGGTTTGATCAGAATTCTGTATTACAGATGAACTTCTTATGCTCTTTGATCCGCTGTTGCAACTGGGGCCTGTCTAGCGATTTCATTTGTTGTTAACCTTTGACCTATCACAGCCACCCACACGCAAGCTGTGTGTGAAGGTCACTGTTGCCTCATCAGTCAAATGGCCGACGTCCGTGTAGGGCTGACCGTTTGACCACTACGGTGCTGATCTACGGTGATCTAAACTGTGGCTGTCGTGAACTGTAATATTTGTGATGTTAGCCACCACTGTGCTCATTCATAATGGTGAGGTATGGTGCATCCTCATCATACAACATAACAACATACTAAGTACTCTGATTTGAAGTATTGATGTTTACATACCGACAGTGTATACTGGCTAGTATAGTATGAAGAACTGCTATTATATATTGTTGTCATATATCTGCAGTACAAAGTGGTCATAACTGTCAAATGTCATTTACCAGAGTACTAGCCAGTCTAGAGAGAACTAGTAATATACTTCACACTTGTGATCACATTTCTGATCTGTAGGTTTACTGGTCTATAAATCTTAATACAGACCAGGTCTGCTGAGTAACTCCTACATTATAGACATTCGTTCAGCACTGTAAAGGGACTATGGGCCTGTAAGCAGGTCCTTTAGAAAGATTTACAGCGCCCGCCTGAGGGGACCAGTCCCAACCCATGCTTTGCCTTGAGCAAATTTTTTCTTTAGCATGGGTCTATAAATCTTCATACTTGCCAGCGTTTTTGTCACGATTTCCTGACATGTTCTGATCTTGAAGAACAGATAACATATAGAATTGTCTAGACCCTTGACCTGACATTTGGTATATACACACACAATCAATAACCCCACCTGTTTTTGTAGAAACAACGATAGATGTATGCTGTCTTGTTACCTGTTTGTTAAGCTTTAGATATTATATGAGTGAATAAAGTGGAGCTCAGTAATACCGCAAAATGCTGTACACGTTGATATGTTCGATTTTACTTTTTGGTAGTCTACAGAGAGAGGATCGAGGTTTGGCAGAACATACTGCAGCTCACCTGCATGAAACCTGTAATATATTGTGCACAGGACTTTGGTATAAGGTTGTATATTTATAACTGAAGATGACATTCCCAATTCCGTCTATAGTTTTGAAATGTTGTATTTGAAAAGATATTGCCCACAACAGGCAAAATTTGCAATGCAACATTGACCAAACATCCAACAAAAACCATAAAAATATGGGTTTTGCGAAGGCACAGTACATTCTGCCGATGTGCGTATAGAAAGGGTCACCTCCCTTGTTACCTTGCCTATATTGTACATACATGTATATGCATTGTATAACTCAGAACTGTTTTACTACATGGAGCCATCAAGGAATGTTGCTTTTGTTCTCATAGTTTTGATAGTCATCTTCAATGAGGTGAGTGGAGAAATTACTGTGTTGCCTAAAGCAAAGCCTAGGGGTCAAGCCTGAGCTACAGATTCATATCTTCAAAAACAGAACATTGCATGATAAATAGTGACCTACTCACCCCAAGTTTTCGACTTCGCATGCGAACGTAGCCTTGCCTGACAATGTCGTTGAAGTCTGATGCCATATTGTACATCTACTGTCAGTGATCAGCGCAGACACAGGAGTTGAAGAACAGGTTCATACTGGCTCTGCAAAACAATGGGAGTCAAAATAAATTACCAGCATACAGATAAAAATCAGTTGCCGACAGGTCTGCAAAGTTAGCTTGTCTCACCTTTGTAGCTGCCATTTAGTCAAGGACGTCTGAAAACAAAAATGTCTTCTTGCAAAGAACTGCCTGTACACGGCCACCTTTGAAGCCTTAAGAGCTTGACATTTCAATTAAGTAATGACCGCTAATGAGAACTTCTGTCATTGTTGTCTGTGTTCTGCCACCACAAAGCCGGGCATTGTTATGGAAATGAGGGACAAGCCACTTGATAAGTGAGGGCAAAGGGTGGCAAGTCATGTTTCATGTCACCAGTCTGGGTTTCAGTAGGTATCTAAGCCATTAACAAGAGTTCTGCAGCTGAAAAGTGGTAAATGACAGTTGTAAAAGATGGTAAAACTATCAAGGCAACATTCCACCAGAGTTAACAAAAGAGGAAAGAAAAAACAGAAGTGTGTAAATCACTTAGTCAGGACGTCCGCATGGGCCAAGAGTTGCATGTTCTGCACTGTAACCTACATAGCAAAGTAGCGAGACAACCAGGCACCTACTCAACATTTGTGGAATTTTCTCTTTCTGCCTGCCATTTCCCCTGTCCAGACACGTCATTACTCTCAATGTCAGCACATTAAAACACCCAGGACACAATACCTGACCCAGTTCTTATCAGGACTTGTCATTACCTGTAAAGCTATAAAACTCCCCTCACCTGACCATTTCTTATTGTCCCAACTGACGTCCGCCTGTCTGGCATGAGGGGTAATTTACGGGATGCTACCTGCGCCATTCCAACCGCTGACTGTGGCTTACCTGCCTGTAATTTTCTCCATAAATGAGTTCGCTACTGGAAGCTTAAGTTGTAACCACAGCAGCATTGTCCAATCGCTAGAGGCAGTCCTGCGTCGGCTGCTGGAAACATGGACCAGATTTTGCTCGGGCTGCCCTGAAGAGTAAGGCAGTCGTGACGTTCACAGGGCCCTTTCTCACGGCCCCTGCCTTCCTGTTGAGCTGCCTTACTTTTGCTCACACTCACTGAACGTGTTTTGTTGCTTACTTTTCTGACTAATCACGCTGGGGAAAGGTATGCTAATAGCCTGTCGGGGTGAGCAGGCACAGGTCAGGGGTCACAACCAATCAGTGCTTCTATTCACAGATTCCTCCAAATTTGGGATCGCCTCACCACACGACAAGGGCGCACCACTGATTATCCGTGTGTGTTCCCCAATGCCACGATTTTAATCAAATTATGTGTGCACGCAAGCTGAACTTCATGTAGTTAAGCTTTCCATGGTACAAGCTATAGACTTACATAACTGAGCTTTATCATAGCTGTAAAACACATTCTTACTTTTAGTTAGCTCCAAGATCTGCCTGGATATTACTAGTGACTATAGGTACTTTTCAGACCAGAAGGTGTGCAGTGATTGACAGCTTTCAGCCTCTAATTATACTGTACTGTTTACCACTCACTGAGGCGGTCTGCTTTAACATAAACATAAACAGAACAAAATAGAGCACACTGGCTACTTAAGATGAACAAAATTGGCTTATGAAGTAATATATTTCTTTTTTTTTTCTCTGTGAATATGACTTCAGTATGAGATAGGACCATGGACATATTAGTACATGTATATGTATTATGTTTAGAAGCATTTCCCAGAAAACAACATTAGGGGGAGTTTTACACTCTGGACAGCTCAATCAAGTAGGTAATGAGGCTTGATTAACTGAGCTGTTATTGGGTATGCAAATGAAGCCAATTACCTGGTGGCATTCCTGTAACATGGCTTCACTGAATGAAGGGGTGTGGATGGTGCAATCAAGTCATTTTGCTTACTGCAATTAACAGGAGGTGCAGGTCTGCTGTATACAGATGTAACTGTTAAACATTACCAATATATCTCAGTAATGGGATTACTTTATCACATAAGGCCACACCAATTTGATCTGTTGGTTCTAAGAAGATTTGTTTCAGAAAAAATATGAAGCAACAAAAAAATAAAATAAAGATAGGCCTAGGCATCCTCTGATAACCCCAAAGGCTATGATAGGAGCCATGACACCAGTATACCAGGCTGGTATAGAATTCAATGAATTTTAAGTTTTTTATAGAAACAATGTATTGATACATGGAAAAATTGTAACAACAAGGAAGACAAGGAGCTCTCTTCAACTGTTTGCTGATAGTTATCATATATAGACTATTAGAGAGTATACTGGGGGTAGGTATTTCCAGTTACCTTAGAGCAGGATATTTTGTAGGCCATAAGTTGTACATTGTATGTGTCCACCTTTAACGACTCTCCCCTAAGAATCAACCATTTCCTTTGTATCTGGTTACAACACTTCACTCTCCTCTCCCTTTCTGTTTGCACTAGCCGACCAATCAGGAAGTGCCCTTGGCTGGAGTGGGTGTGATGAGGATGTCTGAACATGTTGTGAGGTGGAGGAAAACACTTGAAAACTCTCTGCCATTCTTCAGACAGTCACCCACTCCACTGACCGTTGTCTGCAGTCCATGAACAACACACTGGGATAACATGTTTGCTCACTTCAGCAGCCCTTGCTCTGCATTCTCAGACTTGGCTATGCTTCTTCTCCAAGCAAACGTGTTGCTTTGGCTCCTTTTGTATGTCTTCCAGGCTGTATCTTATTTTTACAAGTCCCGGTTAATGTAAAAATTATAAAAGTACCTTCCAATGGTGCACACAAATCATGTCAAAAAAGTACATGTACTTCATCCTGGATATTGATTATTCTTCTGTGCTCAAAGTTTTGAACTGTTGCCAGTGTTAAAATATCTTCTGACTAGCACTGATCTCATTGAAATGCTGCTTAATTTACAAAGAATTACAGTTCTAGGGTCACTGATTCAAAAAGGTCATGTAAATCAGGAATTTAAACTCTCCACAATGCCAGCTTTAGCTAGTGTTCTGTTCAGATTTGTATTTGTTCCTGTTTTCTGGTCACGAGGCAACTGTTCATCAATGTGATCCTTGGGATAAAGTCAACCTCTAAGCTATGTGTATTTTTGGTACTGCAGAAAAGGGGAGCACGCTAAAAGACATCCTTTCAATACAATCATCTGGCTTTCCCCAGAAGAGAATTTGGGTTTGAGAGAATTCTTTTGTTTGCTTTTTCATTATGGCTCGGGTGTACCCTGTTATTACATGGCTCGTAGACGTTGTGCCCCACTTGGCAAGAAGAAACAACTCCCCCCCTGGCCATTGTGGCTCTATTTGCTAATATTGTCCCATCCCTCTGTCCCTTTTACTGGCGACTGCTGGCAAGTCCTTTCACATTTCTTGGCTCACTCAAACCTTTTTAAGGCCCTTTTATGGAAGTGATTTGAATGATACTACGTACTCTGTGTGAAAATTCATTTTGTTAACTTGAATGAACAAATGCCAGCTAGAAAGGGTCAACAATCATCTGCACTGATTTTGAAAACCTACCTGTAAACAATTACACAAAGATGCTAGTACATGTAACATGAAAGATCATGTTGAACGTTTGGGAAATGTCCATCTAAGTTGCCCAGCAGGAGATGAGAGATTGGCTTGAGTAATGAACAGTTAGTACTTCCTTTTTTTGGATTATTAAAATGATGTCAGTAAGCATATGCCTTATTATTCATCTTGTATCCAAATGGCATTCGGCTGAAATTAGACCGTGTCATCCTGATGTTTCAGTTGGTAGAAAATTCCAGGTTTTAGAGGTCCCGACGGGCGCTCCCTCCCATGCTGAGGTGGCATAAAGGTCTTCCTGACCTTGACATCAGTATTCCATACAGATTCAAAGGCAGACGACTTTCTCTTGTCAGCTTCACGCTGGGAACATATTGCCGGCCCTGGCTCAGCCTGCCAGCAGAATTCAAAACAGACAGATGGAGGTTCCTTAACCATACTGTCAATATGACCAACACTTGGAATGGCTACAACTACAAAAGGTATTCTTTGGACGTATCATAAAGGTACATTGAGGTGCGAAGCTGTTTTTCTGCTTTTTGAGCACTTATTTCTGAACGTTGGAGACTCTACACTGTGAGTTTTACATGAATTATGGCAGCACTGATAGGCGCTCTATCCCATTATAGCTTTATCTTTAGAACTCCACGACTATCTAAACTCTGGTATGATGGACTTCTGTGCTGGCGGGTTTGTAGACCGGCCACACTGGCTCAGACTAAAACATTACAGTCATGACCGTCATGCACGGTAGAAACCGACACGACTATCATCATGCTTCACCAGCACAAATGGACATGAGTTCATGCTTAACTGGTCCATTTTTTCTGGAAATGGTCGGGCTTGAGCGGAAATCACATTCTTATCACACTCTCTGTATGAGGGTCTGCATGCCCTTTTTCGTTAACCGTTATGGGCTATTTCAATTTACCGTTAATCGTTGCCGGCCCGCTCTAATTCAACGTTAAGCGTTATCAGTATATTCCTCGTGAAGCGTTATTGGTCGTTTTAATTCAACGTAAAACGTTATTTGTCATCCTGAATTCAGCGTTAAGCGTTAATTAATAATTCTTCGTTACGCCTAATTTTGCCTATCAAAGTGCAGGAAAATGCGTCATTGAAGGTTTAAAAATACAAAATTTCCCGGGGGAGAATGCCCCCGGACCCCTCTACATTGCTCGCGCCTTTGGCGCTCGACTCGCGCTTCTGCGCTCGGTCCCTTCGGCTCTAGCCAGAACCAGTTTACCCTTCAATTTCCGGAGGTTTGCGGAGAGTTACAGAATTTTTTAACGAATCCGTCATGCAACCTTGACAGGCAAATTAACAAAAACCTTGAGTAAAATATGAAAACATCAGAAGGACCGACAAAAACTCTCCACCATGATTTGCCTCTCAAAATGCGGGAAATTGCGTTTTTGAAGGCTTAAATATCCCGGGGAGCATTCCCCGGACCCCCTAGATTACGAACGCCTTCGGCGCTCCCATCTCAAAATCCATCGGTAAAACTGGGCAGACTGAAAAAAATGCAAGCTGGCCGAAGTCGACTCGGACACCCCGGTATTTGTGGACGCACTCGGGGACCAGGGCAGGTGGGAAACACAGGGAACACATACCTTTAATGCATGCTTCATTACATGTAAGGTGTACGTAATTTTGTCAGTGATCACCTTTTCTCACAAAGCGAGATACCAAATCCAGTGCAGCTCGAAAAAAAGCCTGTCAATTTACCGTTAAGCGTTGCCGGCCGTCCTGAATTTACCGTTAAGCGTTATCGGCCCTGCTGAATTTACCGTTAACCGTTGCCAAGACCCCCCCATGCAGACCCTCCTGTATGTATCCCTGTTATGAAGTATAGCAGCACAGCAAGAATATGCCTTTGATAAGAAGCCTGAAGTCGAAAGCAACACTTCCTCCTGTAAGTAACCTGTCTGTGTGACGTTTCTCCGCTGAAAATGCAAGTAGGCCAAGGGCCTTTGAAACAGAGGTGCATCACTGCAGCAGCTCGGAGAATTCACACTTTGGATGGGAATCATCCCTGGAGAAAAAAAGGCCATCAGACTTCCCTTGGACGGCCGCACTACCACAATCCATCACAAAGGAACTGAGCTGGTACAGAAATGGACGGAAGAGCCAACTGCTGCACACGTCCATTAAGATCAAAAGACCTCAGGTCATTGAATGGAAGGAGGGAGTCAAAATGTTCCCAATGCAAGATAAATGCACCTTTCAAACTCACCCGGCAATTAGCTATCTCCCTGCCGGCTGACCCGGTCTTCCTTCCAGGCAGCATACCTCGGACCGGGGAGCCCAAATTGTACCCAGTGATAATGGGTAGCAAAAAAACTGCCTTCAACAAAGAAAGGCTACTTCTGGATCCTGGAGGGTTTCCAAGCAGAGCCATTTGTCTACTCCTGTCGATCCATGTGTTTAGTGACCTGTGAGAAAAGCCTACTAAGGCACTTGGACCTGTTCAAATAAAGGTGCACAAAGCTCTGCCCCACAGAAAAATTCTTTAAGCTGGGGAAGTACCCTAGCTCCAGCCTGCCTGAAGGAGAGGGGCTTTACTAAAGC